AACCATTTCTATCTAAGTAACTGAGCAAATGGTATCAGAATGAAATTTAACTCTTATCCAAGAAATACATGCACATAAAAGTAAGTAAAAAATATAATAGAAACAACAAAACATCTTCTATCTAAAAATATACACATGACAGCAAGAAAACAAACAGAAGAGAAACAATAGATCAAAGCAAATACAAGCGTAATGAAAATAAAATTATTTTTGAAGAAATAACACACAAAAGGAAGAAAAAACAATTACGAAAAACAAAACTGAAACTAACACACAACTACATTTTTTAGAAATGTTTCCTTCAGATTCAGCATATAGGGGACAAACTGTTTCCTTCGGGCATTTAAGATATAATATTAACAAAAGTAGTATAATTTATGTAAAGTACAGTAGAGTGTCGATTATCCGAAAGAATTCAAGTCGGCAAATTTAAATTTTTCGCTAGTGCTGTGGTGCTGCAATCTTTGGCTATATCTTGGGATACTTCAATATTTTTTTTTTTTTTTGTTGATGTGTGTGTTTTAGATGGCAGCACTGGCACTTTTGTGTGGTGTTTTTCTGAGAACTGTGTGTCATGCTGAATCAAACGTCTTTGATACTAGATTAACTTCTAAAGTATCATTTTTTCTGTTTTTATATTTTTCAATATATTTATTTTGTTTGTAAAAAATAAAGAAATAATTCTTAACAATAGATAGCCACGATTATTATTTTAAAAAGTTTACGTTAGGCTTAACATCGACAAAAATTCAACGCGAAGCGACACGAAACAGAGAAAAATTTCAACATAGGATAGGTTAATATATTTTTTCGTACATAACTGGTTATCCAAACAACCCCAGTCCCCAATTGATTCAGATAAACAATGCTGTACTGTATATTATATTTGCTGTAAGTAGTACATGTAAAAAGATGAATTCACAAAAGTATTTACTGCCGTTATTAAAACTGATAAAATAAGAGCTTTCTTAGCTCTTATTTTATCAATTTTAATCAGGACAATTTTTTTCAGGGCTCTTATTTTAAATTTAATACTTTTGCAATGGATTATAGGATTTATTAAGTAATTTAAAATTAACTGCTTTACTTCTCCTTTCTGAACCCATACAGCCGATTGCAGAGACAGTTTACGTTAAACAACATTTATGAACAGAATGGCCTATAGACGTTAGCTGGCTGAACCGTGGTTTAAAATGCATTGCAAAAATGACAACCGTCTATTTCTGACCGTTCTCTAAACGAACTTCACAAAACATTGGCTTTTACTTACTTCGCTATTACTCCCTTGTTTTAGGAGTCGTTTGGCCAATCAGGTTATTTGTTTGTGTTGCCAGCTATATTCCGAAAGCTTGCAAAAATAAAATCTTAAAGGCCGTCAAAACCATTGTTCGGCAATTAATGACAATCCTTTTCCATTTCGATATTTAATTTCGTTGTCAATACGGTTTAAAATATGAACAAATCCATATTTAGAAAATTTATACCGAATTCGGAATAGATTTTTAAGGATTTATTTCGACATCATATTACTGTCGAAATGAATAATTTTAAATATTTTATTATTAATATTACATTTTT